TAAATTTATATCTCTTATTTAACTATATATATTTATGTAATTTGTAATATTTATATACCTTAATTTTTTTTGTTATTTATTCAATTTTAAATAATTTTATTAAATATTTCAATTTTATGTGATTTCATGATAATAATATATATATATATATTCAAATATTTTAAAGCATATTATATAATTTCTAAATAGAATAATTTAATTTTTTTGTACTCAAGGCATATATTTCAGACCAATAATGGTCTAAAATAACTATCAAATTCTTCACAATAAAACCTCCCATCTTTCTGTTTTAACAATTTAGTACACAATAATCTGAATTAATAACAGTTTGAATAACACTTTGTGAAAAACCTCAATATAAGGATGGTACTTTTCATTTTTTACAATTGAGTCCATATTTATTTAGACCGATATTGGTCTATATTATTCCATTTCAGCACAATATATTAATCAATATATGGTGTTGTTTGCTTAATTATTCAGACCAATATCGGTCTGAATAAATAAGTATTTAGGTTGATTTGGTGTCAGTCCGGATAGAAATTGTTTCAGATTAGGTTTTTTGGTTTGTTTTTTCAGACCGACATATATATATATATCACCAACCCATTTTTCATCTTTTTCAGACCAATATATCGATATGAAAATCTACCTTTTCTAGTTTTGTTAGCATTTTGTAAGATAATTTTTTAAATTTTGAAATGAGTTTTAATTAAATAAAATAACATAATTTAATATTAAAATCTTAATTTGTTTAAAAAATTGAGACTAATATTCACTTTTTCCTTTAAAATACGTCACTATCATATTAAAGGTTTTTATTTTCTCATCTCAAATTATACGTATTTAAGAAAGAATGAATATGACCTCTGCCATGGACTATGTCAACATGAACAAAATTATTTAATTTGATACTAATAGTAGCATTTGATTTATAATATTTACTTTTCCAATATATATTTTATTTTAATTACATAATAAGAAGTAATCATCTTTATTCCTTTGTCTTATTTTAGTTGCGTGCTATGTGATTTAAATTCAGAATTTCTTATTTTTAATAAAAGAAAATTATCACTAAACTAGTTAAATTATTAACATATTATCCATATTAATTCATTTAATAACATAATATGAATATAACTATATCATTATTAATATAAATTTACTCCTAAGATTTTCAAAGGTGGCTTTTCTCCATAGTTGGAGGCAATTTTCCTTCTCTTGTGGGAACTCTAGCTGTTTTTCTTTACTCGGTGTGGATTTTTTTTTTTCCCCATAAAAGCGTGTTGTGGTTCAATAGCGGACAGCTGAGGGTGACTCATGTCAACAAGTGCTATTTAGTATTTAGGGAGTGGGATTGGGTGGTGGATCGGTGCTGCTTTGATCGGCCTATATATACAGATGGTGGAGCGGAGGTGGCGTATGTTGAGAAGTGCTTGCTTTAGGAAACCACGTGCACATATATGTAAGGAGAGAACCAGAGGATAGTTGAATTTGAGGAAAGAAAAGAATTACCTTTTGATCACATGTCCTAGAAGGGCAGTGTTGCTCATCAATGAAAATGGGATTGGAGACATTCCTCAGCTTGATAAGAAGGAGCACATGTTTTGATCCTTATGCCATTGGATGTCCCTACTAAGCTACAGTTCCTCACAACAATCTCGGTAACATCCGCGTCCATCTTGGATCCCCCGAGGCTACCGATACTGATGCCATGGCCAAGGCCGCAATGAACATTGTTAATGTTGATGTTCTTGGATCCTGGTCCCATAGAAATGCAATCGTCACCGGTACCGAAGAAGGAATCCAAGATACGGATGTCAGTAGAGGAGCCAAGGTGTATTCCATCAGTGTTGGGGCTGTCCTCTGGAGCTGAAATCCTAATGCGGGAAATTGTGATGTTCTTGCATGCAAAAATGTTGAAGTGGAAGTTCTTGCTGTTGATTGATGTTATGGAGCTCATTCTTGAATTTGTAATGAAATCGAGTCTCATTGACTGTAAAAATGCAAACATTAGTATTTATGGGATTTAGAAAACAGGATGATCGTCTCCTGTTATTATTTGGTAACCATTTTTTGGAACTTACAACAAGAAGAGGAGGGCAATTTGGGCCTTTACTGAAATTGTTTAGGGGCCCGGCTGAGGCTCCTTCACCATCAAGTGATCCACCATCATTGATCATCAATTGATTAATGTATTTGAAGCTAATCCAATGGTCCAAAAGTGAAGCTTTATCAGTGGGAGCCTTGAGGACTCCTCTAATCTAAAACACAGCAGAGCCCTTATAGGGACC